CTGTGTTTGAAAGAAAATCACCCAGACCTTGCTGCATGCAGGACCACCATCACTCACCACCCCTTTGCACTCACTTTAAATAAACATACTTTTTTAATGCCGTTTGAGAAACGTCAGCAGAAGACTAACAGACCATGTCTGACTTGCAGACCTACACCTGCCCTGTGGAGCTTAAAATAGCTCTGGGACACTCCTCAAACCTTCCCCAGCCTCACGCTGCTCACCTCCCAGAGCTGGAGCTCATTGCCTGCTGATAGCAGCCCTCTATGCTCACTCCCCCTTATAAAAATACCATCGTGTTTTCAAGCGAAGCCGGAGACGAGGGTGTGCTGCTGGGCTGATAAGTGTCTAGGGTGAGGTGGCTGCCGCGGCGTGGTGGAAATTGCAGTCCCGTGACACTGAGCAGCATCCCTGCAGCCCCCTGTGATGGGGGGAGCATCCCCAGCTCTTCCGCAGTGAAACCTCCACCAAGCACCAGCAAACAGCACTCAGGATCAGGCCGAGACAGCTAAAGCAGTGATTGTTCTTTTGCATCCCATCTAAACACCAGTGCTTATTCCTGGGTGCAGCAAGACCCTGCTCAGCTGGTTTTTGCCCTGGTAAGTGCTGACCCTGCCAGCACCAGTCTTACGGCCAACCCCAACAGCCAACAGGGGTGGTGGGAGTGGGGAACAGGCAGGTGGCTCTGCTGGGTGTCCTAACACCCACAGGTTCCTGATGGTCTCTGGGCTGTGGACACAGCACAAGGAGTAAGCAGAGGTATTAAATAGCAACTGACATGGAGAAATCAAGGGGAAGAAGCTCAGTTTGGGTTATATCTAGTGAAAAGTTATAAAAAATTAGATCCATTTGGCAATGAAAAATAATTGCTTCACAGTGAAAAGTAAAAATACTCAGAAATTCTGCCTCCTCTTATGTTCTTCAGCTGAAGCTATTCACCACATCTGACCACAACGCCTGAGCAGCTGTGACGTCTCACATTTTTCAGCTAATTTCCAAAGCTGCTTTACTGAGCTGGCCCTGATCATGCCCTGGTCCCTGCAGTAACCACCAGCCCCAGGATCCCCAACTCCGAGAGCTGCTCCTGAGGTATGAAGGAGTGGTGCTGCCTGTGCTGGGGTGAAGGGCAATTGCCTGGATTGTGCCCAAGTCTCGCTGGGAGGTTAAATCTGGGGGCTTATCACCCCTTCACTGCCCAGGAGATCACTGTCCCCTTGCACCCCCTCCATTCCCTACCCTCTCGCATACCCCTTTGGAGCCTCCCCTGGGGTTTTAGCTCCAGCATGCCTAGAGGAGCCCTTTCCAGCTCACAGCCATCCTGAGCAGGTGCTGGTGAGGGTGTTGAACATGCCCCCAGCCCCACGGCTCTCCAGGAGCTGCGGCATCTCTCCCTTCTCACCCAGGGATACATGCAGGGTGTGTGGGACAGGACACCTTTATCATTGCCTGGCAGTGTCCTCCAAGTCCTTTACACAAACTACGGGGAAATATTTGCTCCCAAAGTGTTAGGGGGAATGCTGGCAGCAGTTTGGGGAGGGATGGGGAGGTTTGAAATAGTCACGGGGGGTGGGGGGGGTGTCACCCTGCTCTCTGCTCTTGCTATTGCTACAAAGAGTGGGCTAGACCCCCTTACTGTCCCAAGGTCGAGTGCTGGTGCCCAGCTTCCCCGTTAGAATATATCCCTGGCCAGAAAAATCGGAAAATCTTTCCATCTATCGAAGGAAACTGAAAATAACTGTATGATCTCTCCAAGGCCGAAGGCTGATCTGGTGGCACTGATGTGCACCGCGGCTGAGCCCCAGCAGTGCCAGCGCAACGCCAGCTGGGGTGGCCTGTCCTGCCCAGGGCCATGCTGGTGGGCACGGCTGGGGCTCAGCACCGACCCTGCGGTGTGGGGACCCCCATTGCTTTGCAAGGGAATAAACTTCCCGGTCACCCTGGGAAGGGTTTGGCCACCACTTTGCCATCTGCCCCATGGCACATCCCGGCTGCTGCACCCAACGTGCTGCCCAGCCCAGCCCCATGCACTGCAGGCTCCCGGGGAAGCCAGGCCCTGCCTGGTCCCCCATCCCTGCCAGCCCTTCCTCACCTCTGTTTGGATAACTTTTTCACCTGTTTTATTTATGAGGACTCCCCTCCTTCTGCCAACACTCTGCATTTCCTCTCTCTTTGGTCTGGGAGGCCCATTGTGCTTTTTTATTCTTATTATTTTTCTCTCTCCCCCTTGCAAGGCCCCAGGCTCAGCAGCCCAGCCCGGCACAGGCTCGCCGGCAGCGGGTGCTGGCTGGAGCATGCCTTTGTTTGGCCACGGGAGCAGACGGGGAGAGCAGCCGCAGGTGGGATGTGCAGCGATTCTTCCCCAGCGGCTCTGCAGTGCTCAGCTGTGCCTGTGCCTGCGCTGGATCGGCCCACAGCTCGGTCACTGACCTTCAGACTGAAAAACTGGGAGAAAATCAGGATTTAAAATAAAACTCAGGAGAAAATTTGTAACAAAGATTTGCCTGCCTGTGTTTAAGGTCACTGATGTGCTGGGGCTGGCAAGCAGCTCCTTGCATTAGAGCCAGCTGCAAGTGGGCAGAAGAACTTAATCATAAGTGATTGAAGAGCTTGTTCAGCTCCTTGGGTTGCATCTGTCAGGCAAAGCCTGTTGCTCGCTGCAGAAATGGGTCTGGCTTTGCATGCCAGGGCAAAGCAGGGCACAGGCACCTTGGATTTGGGGACACCCAGACCCAGCCACCCCTAACTGCTGTGGCTCCCAGGCTGACCAGATTGTCACTTGAGCTTCCCCTTCTCCTGCAAATAAGGCACAAACAGTCCCTGCGAGCTCAGCATCAGGAGGCATCTCCCCACCAGCAACAGAGAGGGAGGAGTGTCCCTTCCTGCACAACTGTTTGGGGCTTCAGCCTGGAGGATGCTCAGCACCCGCTTGTGCTGGGCCAGCCCACAGAGGTGCCCTTGCTCCAGGATCTGACTCTCTGTACATCTCAGAGGCATCAAGCCTTTATTTTACCCACTCACAAGCAGCCTTCATCACGTAGCTCCTTGCATGTTGTCTATGCAGTGCCAGCTGGACACAAAAACACCACTTGCCCTCAACAGACCAAAGCCTTGGCATTTTTCTGAGTCCAGCTTTATGTCAGGCCCCGCCTCACTGCAGGCTCCTGTGGCTCAGAGCCACAGGTGATGGGAGCTCCTCCAGAGCCCCAGCTTCTGTGAGCCTGGGACGTATAAATGAGTGACCTGGTCAAAACAGGCTAAACCTCAGCAATTCATAACTGCTTGACTGTAGCTCCCTGCTCCAGCTCAGCCCAGCAACACTACTGCTGATCCTATGCCATTGTTAGACCTTTCCATTGCGAGGGTCTGTGGACCCACTGAAAAGCTGATGAGCCCCACGTCTGGCCATGGCTCACCATGGGGCCATGTGAGCCGAAATTAAAGTGATCTGGAGAGTAATGAAATGCTGGGATCTGGGGCAAGGAGGCACAGGGCCTTGCTGCAGTGTGGATCCCCAACATGAGGGTGGGTTAGAGCTGAAGGTGTTACCCATAGGAGGCTGCAGGCCTGAAGCAAGAGAAGCCACCACCCAGAATGGGGCATGAGCAAAGCATGAGGAGGCGGTCTGGGATCCCCACAAGCTTTCCTGGGGTCTGGCTGCAGCACACACAGTGGCTGGAGCATGGGCTGGTGGGCTGGATGTGCTTGTGGGTGGGGTGTGGTAAAGGACAAGAGGAGAAGGATGTAAAAAATATAGCGAGGAGAGGCAAGGTAGCATGATGGAGAGCCAAGGGACATGATGAATAGCCAGGGGGTGTGATGGAGAGCCAGAGGAAGTGATGGACAGCCACAAGGAAGTGATGGAGAACTATGGAGCGTGATGGAGAGTGAGAAGTGATGGAGAGCCATGAGGAAGTGATGAAGAGCCACAGGACATTATGGAGAACCTTGTAACTGTGAGATCTTGTCTGCTGGAGCCTCACTCTGCACCCTGGCCATGCACAGGGAACTGGGGTTCCCAGGTCACACAGGACTAAACCAGTCCCAGCTCCTTGCCTCGTGAGGAACCTGCAGCACAGGCACAGTTGGACTCATCCTGAGGGTGACATTGGGCTGACGACAGCCTGTGCAGGGGGACCCGTCCCCCCAGTGCCCATGTGCGTTTCCTGGCAGTTGGCAGCTGGCACAGCCAAGGAGAGCTGTGGCATGGGGCTGCCCTGAGCACCGGGGGAGCATGGGCACAGGCCTGGTGGGCATCTCCCTGCAGCCAGGGCACCCCAGGCAACGGTGTGCCACCCGCTGCTCTGCACCTCAGAGGCTGGAGGCTGCCGTTCTTCCAGGCACTACTCTCCCTGCTGGGAGACCTGCCCAGCCATAACACCAGCCCGGCCCTGGCCCTTGGCAAGAGCAGCAGCGCTGGTGGGCGCCCGCTGTGCCCGCTCCCGCTGCCCGGGTGTGCCACGGGCCGCCCGCAGGCTTTGCATTGGGGCTGGCTGCGTGTCCTAAGGC